CACACACACACACACGCTCACACACACACACGCTCTCACACACACACACACACGCTCACACTGTGGGAGGGCTGTCCCAGGGCGATCCTGATTGTCTTCAAGCTGCAGTATGCCCCACCTGGGCTTTCGGGTGTCCCCTTGCTGAGCAGATGACCAGTGCCCTGCCTCAGCCTTGGCCAAGTGCATCCATGAGCAGAGACACTGTCTCTGCGTTGTGAATTCTGTCCGACTCTGTGCGCACCACAGCCCTCGGGCAGCCGTTCCTGGGTCATCGTTAGCCTTCCGTGCCTCCTCACACTGACCTGGCCCTTCTGAGCTGTGGGTGGGTCAGCCTCTCTGGCTCCCCGAGCTTCTCGGCATCTGCCTTCCACACCTGAGAGTCCCTTAGGCCCTGACGACAGCCTCCTCGCTGCCCCGCTGGGTTCCTTTTGTCAGATGGCCCAGGCCACTCCAGCTGAGCGGAAGCCTCACCCTGCTCAGGGTTCTTGGATTGCATGTGGCCTGAGCAGGCAGGTGGCAGCCTGAACTCCTTGCTCCACCTTTATAAGTTCCCAGAGCCCATGGTGGAGGCAGCGTGGGAGATGGAGCAGCTCACGGCTCGCTGGGATCCAGCACAGGATCCAGCAGCACGTCCCACCTGGAGGACCACAGTGTCTCCTTCTCAGGGTCCAGCAGAACCTGAGATCCAAGCAAGTGGGAACAGATTGAGAGAAATCTCCTGGGACAGAGCCACAGAAAGATCCAGAAGGGCATGCAGCAGGCTCCTGGGAGACACAGGCTGACAGAGATGAGACCCAAAAAGGAGGCACACAGACACACCCCTAGAAACAGTCAGGCAGCACTCCCCATTACCAACAAGACCCCAAAGCAGCCACAGTCACACCCATACTCAAAGTGCCAACAAACACTTTCCCCGAGAACTTTGCAGGGGCCCCTGCAAAGTGCGCTGACAAGAAGGGACCCCAGTGACCTCCATGGGGATAGGTCTACCTTCTTTTAGGATGACTGTGCCAGCACCGAGATGGGAGGACCCAGTTGACCGGGTCCTGGCCTCAGAAGCCTGAGTACCAGGTGCTGCTGCTGGCTCTGCATGGGCGCTGCCGGGTCCCCTGCAGACTACTCCTCCCCTGGACTTTCACGCAGCTGGGCCTGCAGGCACCTGGCTCAGGGTGTCCTGGGGAGGGAGAAAGAACCCCAGACAGCATGGGGAAGGGTCCGTGTGTTCCCACGCCAACACACAAAGTGTAGACACTGCTGCTCTGGAAACCATGTGCTTTATTTGGAACCTTATTCCAAGGGAACCTCCCCCTGCGAAGTAGAAAAGCTGCAAACCCTGCGGTTTGGTACAAGGCAATGGCTAAGGGACTGCAGTAAACCCCTTACCGCTGGGCCCTTGTCATCTGGGCCTCAGACTTCCCTGGTCATCCTGACTCCTGGCTGAGCTGGGTGTGGGTAGCTGAGACTTCTGGGGTGTCCAGCTCACCTCCCAGCATCTTCCTCAGCCAGAAGTGAGGACGTGGATATGGGACAAAGGCCAGGGTCCCAGTGGACAGCCTGGGCCTCTGTCTCCCACCAGGGGTCTGCAGCAGCCATAGCTCTTCAGAGCCTCATTGCTCTGGGTACATCTTGGCTCCTGGCTGAGGAACCACGGAGAGTGGGATGCCCCGCGGCAGGTGAGTGAGTGAGTGAGTGAGTGAGTGAGTGAGTGAGTGAGTAGGGCGCACACAGCCAGCCAGCTCCGCCCCTCAGTACAGGTCCGCGAAGGGCTTGGAGTAGTTGAACATCAGGTAGTCCATGTAGTAGAAGTCGTAGGCGCGCTGCCGCTGCGGGACGGAGAGCTGCGTGAAGTACTGGTGCGTGATCCGCGCGGTGGTCCGTGCCTCCTGCGAGTGCCGGTCCTTGAACCGGGGGAAGGTCAGGTTCTGCGGCGCGTGGATGAGCCTCAGGAAGAAGTTGGCATCGTCCTCCATGCTCTCAAACTTGCCCACAAAGTCATAGTCGATGAGGCAGGGGCTGCAGAGCCGGCTGACGTGGTCCCAGTGGATGTCCATGCCCACCGGCCGGTGCACGTCCAGCAGGTACTGGACGAACTCGGGAAAGCGCACGCCAGAGCCCGTCCTCAGGGCCTCCCGAGAGGCATTGGCCCGGTAGCGGGCTAGGATGGCCTTGCCGAAGACGGGGTGATAGTAGCTATTGGGGTGCTCGAACTTGTCGCGGAAGGCGGAGACCAGCCTCTCGAAGGGTTCGCGGACAAAGAGCATCTTGGTGTAGGTACTGAGGCGTTGCAGGATGCCCTGGCGGTCGAAGGTATCCAGCCGCTTAAGGGCGCTGCCGTAGTGGACGGTGTTGTGATGGATGTCGGCGGTGGACGAGGCCAGCCCCGCCAGCACCATGAGCACCCGCTTCCAGTTGGAGCAGCCTGCCTTGGGCACCTCGCAGTACAGCACGCGGTGGCGGTCCTCCACGAAGATGCGGGACACATGGCGCGGCGTGACCGCCCTGCGGCTGCTGCTCGAACGGTACTTGGCACACGCCTCCCGCATCACCCGCTTGCGCTCCTGCTGCCTCTGGTGCAGGCTGACCCAATGGCCGTCCAGGACTCGGGGTGCTGGCCGGATAAAGGTACCAGCTGAGCTGTTGGCCAGGGTGGCCGCTGCAGCTGGCATTTTCTTGATAAGCAGCCGCCGGCGGCGCTGCCGGGGTCGCAGACGGGCCCCCATGTTTAGGTGGGCTTGGGGTTGGTCAGGCACCAGCAAGTGGAGGCCTCTTGGTGCCCGACTGGACAAGTCTTGGGTGACCCTCTCTGTGAGTGTCTTAAAGTCACCATCCTGAGAACTGCCTGGTGGGAAGTCCTAGGGCAAGAAGAGAAATGGTTACCAAGACAGCCGGGCACGGAGGGTCACACAGGCCAGGCCCTCACCATGGCTGGGGTCCCTGCCCGCTCTGTGGCCCGAGTTTCTCCCAGGTGAGGGAGAGGGAGACAGGCTGACCCTGCAGGACGTGATCCCTGTGATCTGAGCCACAGGCCAGCAGCCCCTGCCGCTCTCCTCTCAACTGGCCACGGTCTGAGATGCAAGTGTCATTTTGGCCACAAGGTGGCGCAGGCCTCCCAGGAACCTGGGACCGGCGGGCGGTGGAGGGCGGGGGTCGCTGGTGGCCTGTAAGAGGCTGCTCAGATTTACTGAGTCAATTAGCACACTCCAAAGCCAACATCCAGCGGGAAAGGGAAATTCATGGGTCTCAAGCCCAGGGCTTTGTTCCCAAGGCTCCTGGGAAGGACTGGACATATTTTTCTTTCTAAGAATGGGTTTAATGGGAGCTCCAAATTTTCTTCCCGGCCCTCCCCAACTTTCCCCAGGGTGCTCATGCTGACATTTATCTGACTCTTAGAACTCACATTGTGGGGCTGCTGTAGCCTGATGTTGAACTTTACTCCTGAAAAGCAAACAGAGAGGACAGTATTAGCCGTGGAAGTACCACGTGGTTCCCAGGGACCCACTTATAGGTTTTTTACTCAGGGTGCCCGGTAGGGAGGGCGCTTGGGGTAGGCTCTGTGAAAAGACAGTTTAGGGAGGCAAGCGGAGAGGCGTGGCTCAGTATGAGTGCCCCTCCCCTCCCTGCCCCTCCCCAAATGGAAAATGGAGGTGCAGCAAAGACTTGGTGTCCCCAGCTCCCAGGTGATGCTCACTTCTCAGCATCTCACCTCCCAAGAAGGTCTGGAAAGGCTCCCTGCCCACCGGTGCCCACACACCTGCCCAGTGGAGCAGCCAGGAACCTCATGACCCATTTCCCACCTCACACTGTCATTAAATCACAGGGGAAAGGACCCGTCAGAAAGTTCTGGCATCCTCTCTTCAGGCCCTGTCCACCCTGCCTTGGTTGTAGTCAATGTGGACTTTCTGTACTTGTAATACAACACGCTTGCACCCACACGTTTGCACACACCAGGCCTAGGATTGGAACACACATGTTCGTTCCCTTGGGATTGGGGCCTCCCCACTTACTCTGGAAAGTTCCCTAACTTAGCCATCCACTTTGCGATTTTGGCCTCTCAGCTGGCCCTGGGGCTCTGTGTGTGTGTGTGTGGGGGGGCAGGCAGGGTGAGCTGGCCACATCCTACTGTTCTCCAAAGGGCTGAGCAGAGCCCAGGCACAGAGTGTCCAGAAAGCACTAATTGTGACTGGGGGAAGATAGAGAGACATCAGCACATCACTGGCCACAATCCAGAATGTCTCCTCTGTCCACCAAGGAGGCCCTCTGCCTGAGCTCACCCAGGATAATAGGCGCCACCTTTGGCCAGAGGAGACTATCCTGTTTCATACCTGATTTGGTCTGTTTTGGGGGAGGTAGTGGGAAGATAAGAGGACTCCTTTTGGGGGAATCTATTTAGGAGTCCGAACCTCCTTCTGTTGTCCCTGTCTAGCCATTGAGGTGTCAGGGGCTCTTCCTGCTCCTGTGCTGAGTGGATGTCTCTGCTCTGAGGTTTTGCCATAAGCCACAGTCACAATCAGAACCAGCCACCCCTTAAACAAGCAGAGAGCTAGAGTTTCTGGCTGGGGTGATGGAGCACAGTGTCTGACCACACCTGAGTTCTGGTGGCTGCCTGGGCAGGGTGTTCTTCCTTTCCTGTCTCTGTGTACTTGGCAGAGGTCCAGTGGCTGGAGCGCAGCTGGCAAGGGGACGTCCAGGTCCTCTGTCCCTGACCCAGGTACTCCACTGACTTCTCTATGAGGTCTAGTTTTACAGGTCTGGTCACTGCTATGGACTTGGCCTCATCCTGGTCAGTCTGAGGATGTGCCCACACACTTCCTTTATTCATCAGCAGTTGAGGAGAGGGGAACCCGAAGTCACCCTGGACTGAAAAGCCTAAATTCCCTGAGCCTGCTGGAACTTTCCTCGAGTCCCAAGAGAGGTGGAAGTGAAGGCAGAACTTGGGCCTGTTGCATCTTTCTTTGGCTGCAATGTTATTCTTTGATCCCTTTGGGTTGGGACCAGGGGCGTGCCCTTCCCTGGGCAAAGGGCAGTGTCCGCACCTTCCTGAGCATTCCCAAGGTTATGTGCATATCTGGGTGCATATGGGGGAAGCTCAGAAACAGGACTTCTGGACTTGCCCACGAAGGCTGAGCAGCTCCATGTAGAACTGGCTGCACCCCTCAGGGCATGGGAGATGAGCTGTGGGTGCCTGACCATGAAGCAGGAGCCTTTTAGAATTAAGCCCCTCGCCAGGGTCTCCCTCTCAGCACTGAGCCTGCTTCCCTCCTGCTGGCCCCCCTTGCCCCCCTTCCTTACACTCTTCATGGCAGCCATCGCCAGCATGAGCTTTCTGAGCTCATTTCTTTCTGGCCTGTGCCGTTTCCTCCCACAGCCAATGATCACAGCTCCCTTTTCCCAGAAGGGACGCACTGCACACTCGGGTTTCCTCCACACTCCCGGCTTTCCTTCATTATTTTCTTCTGGTGACGGCAGCTGGCTCTGCTAAATCACCTCTCCTCCTCAGAGTTTCAGACACAGGAATTTACTCCGCTTGTCAATCCTGTCAACTTGTCAAGGTGAGATGGCACTTATTTATATTCCTTTTCTGGGGCAAATGAATCATACTGGATTTAGCCAAGTGTGGGGCTGAGGAACCATTTACAAAAGGCATCCTGCCAGCTGGTGGCGTCAGACAAGAATGCGCTTACTGAGGTCGAAGCCCCTATGGCTGTGAGCTCCCACTGACACTGTCCCCTTGGAGGGTGGGGCCTGTCCCTCCAAGGGGCCTGTCCTATTTTATCTGTGCAGACTGGACAGGAGCAGTTTTCCAAGGTTGGCTCTGGTTGGGCCAGAGCCCTAGGCACAAGATGGAGAAAAAGTTCTTGCTGGATGGAGCTTGGGGCTGAGTGAGCCTCTGACTTCTTGGACACTTTTGCCCAGCAAAGCCAATCTTGCTGCAATTGCCCCCCTTTGAAAAGAAGAACTGTCTTGTGGAACACCCAACAACAGATCTCATGGGGAGCCTGAATTTGCCATAAGCTGTGTGCTCCCAACCCTTAAACTTATGGCAGTTCATTTGGCAAAGACTGCCTCTCTCCCACATGGCCACTTTGGAATAAAGACAGAAACTTAAAAGAAATGTGATGGATTCTCCCCTGGCTAGAGGCCCAATGTTCCTACTTTTTCCATGGAGAAAGCTGCTCTTCCACACACTGCTTGGATAAAGGCTGAAGCAAAGACCACCCCAGCTCTGAACAAGTGAAGACCAGAAGCCTAGAGCATCTTGAGGCTGGGGGCTCTGCATTTCATAGTGGGCTGTCACTTCAGGACCCTGGACACCTCCGTGGAGAGCCCAGGGAAGGCAGCTAAGGGCTCTGCCTCTGCTGCACCCACAGAGAAGGTATTGTCACTAGGAGCCATCAGAATTGGTTCCATGGGGGACTTACGGGGTGTATATTGATCTCAATATAACCACTATTAGCTCCTCCCAAGCCCCAAAGAAACATACAATCTAGATAAAAAGTGGGCTTTCTGAGCAACACAAGCCACCTCTTCCATTCAATGCCACAATGCTGCCATGCATGTCCCCTGTCCCCTCCCCCATCCCCACCCTGGGAAAGAGAAATTCCAAGGCAAGTCATGTCCATGCCACATATACAGTGTCTGAGTTACCTGTCCCCTTCTGTCAACATAACATTAACAGTCTGTAAGGGAGCTGCATCCCCTGCCTGGTGAAAAAAAATAACCACTTTCTCTTTCTGGACACAAGACATTCGCAGAGTGGTTGGAACACATGCAATATGATAAGAGTGAGCAACAGTGAGCATAGACAAGGTGTGAGTTATTGGGACTGTCAAGTGTTTTCCACTCGGTGAACTCTTCATGGGCTGAAGGTTTTCTTCTGCGTGTTTGGTTGAAAAACTTCCTGGTTACCTACCGAGGAAAGGCAAGGGGTGATGAGGGTGTGTGAAGCCAGTTCTTAGAATCAGGCCGTGCAGCCTGGGTCTGGAGCAGAGCTGGGGAGGGGGCGTCCCTGGCATGTGAGCTGTTGGGGAGGAGGGTTCCTTGCCCACTCATCTCCGAGTCACAGGAGGGAGGCCTGCTGGGTTCAACTCGAAAGCCTCGATCCCAGATGCCCATGACCCACAGGAGACGGGGGCTGAGGACCAGCTTTTAGTTAGTTGGTGTAGGCAGTGGGCCAAAACAGGACCCAAGTGCCTGGAACGGGGTGGAAGTGCCCCCTGAGCCCTCGGTTGATCATGTTTAAGGTGAGTGACTGCTATTCTGGTTGCTCGAATCCCAGCTCCCAGCCCTGGCCGGGTATGGGGAGAGGGTCCTGCCACTCTAAATGCTGGGGCCAAGGGGAAGGCAGGGCCACCCTGAAGCAGTCAGACCCACAAAGAGGGACAGAGATGGGGGAGAACTGAAGGGGCCAGGAGAAGCCACTAGGCACGGATGTAAGTCTGAAGTCCCTGCCCTGTGTGGAGTGTGAGACTCATGGTCCTTGAATCCCTAGAGTTTCCTGCACCAAGTTGCATTTTCTTGGTTCCTTTTCCACGTCCTATTCTTCTGGTGTCTGAGCCTGTGTGGCCACATCCACACAGTGCTGTCCATCCACACGTCCACTTGGGCTGCCCATCGGCCCAGGAAACTCCCAGAGGTTTCAGGCTGGCCTGAGCCACACTTCAAGGTGAGGCCCTCACTGTGTCCCCCCACATATGAGATCCTGATTCCAAGATTCGGTCCCACCCCAGATTCCCTGGCAGTTGGTGGGACGAAAGCTGTTGCCCTGCTATGCGGCCTCCGCATCCCAGTTGAAAAGCAGCAGCTCCTGTGCCTAACGTGTGCCGCACAAAAGGCTTCCTGCCATGTCTGGTCAGTGTCTGGGACTCACACGGCAGTCATGAAGCACAGGTGTGATGCAGGGACGCTGGCAGGAGAAAGCCCACCGCAGTCAGGGGACTAAGCCCTTAGGGAAGCGCCAGGCCCCACTCCAAAGGAAGTATGGAAGGTTTCTGAGTGATGGGCTGTGTTAGTCAGGGTCCTCCAGAGAAACAACCAATAGGATATACACATGGAGAGGTGGGCAAGGGATTTATTTGAAGGCAATTGTGGGGGTTGGCAAGTCCAAAATCTGCAGGGCAGATCAGCAGACTGGAGGCCCAGGGAAGAGCTGATGCTATAGCTTGAGTCTAAGGGCAGTCTGGAGGCAGAATTCCTTCTTCCTTGGGCGACCGCAGTCTTTCCTCCAAAGGGCCCTCAACTGATTGGGCGAGGCCCACCCATATTCTAGACAGTAACCTGTTTCACTCAAAACCTACTGACGTGTTAATCACATCTAAAAAATACCCCATGGGGTGGCCAGTTAGCCCAGGTGGTTAGAGCGCAGGCTCATAACACCAAGGTTGCCAGTTCCATCCTCACATGGACCGAGAAGCTGCGCCCTCCACAACTAGACTGAA